TCTAAAATATACTTGGAGCTCAAAAAATTAAATCCTCCAACAACAACTCCTCAAAGAAACAACTGCCCAATAAAAAAGTGGGCTAAAGACTTAAACTTCTCTGAAGAAGAAAGAGGGATGGCCAATAGACACATGAAGAAATGCTCAACCTCCCTAGCCATAAAAGAAATGCAAATCAAAACAACATTGAGATACCACCTCACTCCAGATAGAATGGCAAAAATCAACAACTCTAACAACAACAGATGCTGGAGGGGATGTGGACAGAAGGGAACCTTACTTCATTGTTGGTGGGAATGTAAACTTATTCAACCGCTTTGGAAAGCAGTATGGAGGTTCCTCAAAAGGCTTCACATAGAGCTCCTCTATGACCCAGCAATCCCACTTTTGGGCATTTACCCAAATGATCAAAAACAAGTCCACACTAAAGCTACCAGCACGACTATGTTTATTGCAGCATTATTTACCATAGCTAAGATATGGAACCAACCCAGATGCCCCTCAGTAGATGAATGGATCAAGAAAATGTGGTATATGTACACAATGGAATTCTATGCCTCCATCAGAAAGAATGACATTGCCCCATTTGTTAGGAAATGTAAAAACTTGGAAAAAATTATATTAAGTGAAGTAAGCCAGGCCCAAAGAAACATAGGTCCCATGGTTTCCCTTATTTGCAATATCTAGTATATGTATGAGTCAAGCGGAAAAGGTCACATAATGTGATGTTAGGAAAATGAACCCTTAGATATGTGTTTTAATGTTTTTTTTCTTTCATGTATTTGTTTCTAATGCATTTATAAGATTATCTCTTTGTTGCTTTGAATGTCCCTTCCCCACAGTATAAACCCTGCTTTCATTATATTTGATGTCAGTATAACTTGTGGAGGAGATGGGGAAAAACAAGTCGTTTAAGGATACAGGTGGACCTGTTGCAACAATGAGAAGTACAAGTTGTCATATGGAACGTGAGCTTTACAACGTTGGTGGGGGGGGGGTTGGGGGGGGAGGGGGGGATGGGGGACGGGGGAGGAGGGGGAGGGGGAGGATTGGGTTGGGGAGGCTGGGAAGGGATGTGAAGGGTAAACAAAGAGGAGGCTGCAATGCTTGATAAGAAATGTACGCATTATCCTGCCCATGTAATTGTATCCCCTTTGTACAGTACGTTCACAAAAATAAAATAAATTTAAAAAAAAGAAAAAAAGAAAAGGTCAGATAAGTTGATGTTAGGGAAATGAACCCTAATATATGTATTCAAATGTATTTTTTCTTTCATACAATTGTTTCTAACACATTTACAGGATTATTTCTTTCTTGCTTTGTATGTCCCTCCCCCACGATATAACCCCTGCTTTCCCTGTATTTGATGTCGGTAAAATTTCTGGAGAGGAATGGGGAAAAAAATCATTTAAATAGGGATACAGGTGGACCCATTGCAACAATGAGATGTACAAGTCGTTATGTCGAAAACGAACTTTACAACTTTCGGGGGGGGGGGGGCAGGGAAGAATTGGAAGGGGAAACAAAGGAGAAGGCTACAATGCTTGGTAAGAAATGTACTCATTTTCTTGCCCATGTAATTGTAACCCCCTGTGAAGTATTTCCACAATAAAAAAAAGAATAAAAAAAGGAATTCTTTCTATTTTCCGCTTTCCCAATTTCTTATTTAAAGCTTTAATTTTCAGTGTAGAGATCTTTTAAAGATCCTCCATTAGGTTGTAAATCCTAGATTTTTTTGTATAGCTGACATTTCAAGGTATATATAAAATTAATTATGATGTTCTATTTAGTTTACCTTAATGGATTAAAAATTAAGTTTATCTCTGCGTAGGGGCTTATGCCTGTAATCCTATCTACTCAGGAGGCTGAGATCTGAGGATCAGGTTTCAAAGCCAGCCCAGAAAGAAAGTGTATGAGATTCTTATCTCCAATAAACCACCAGAAAACTACATGTGACACTGTGGCTTAAGTGGTAGAGTGCTGGCCTTGACCTGAAGAGCTGAGCTACAGTACTCAGGTCCACAGTTCAAATCCCATCACTGACAACAAAAAAAAATTAAGTTTAGGCAAACAGGCCAAAGAGAAGTTATTTTTCCAACTGTAAGTGGACTGTCTTTTAAATTTAATTTTTGTATTACTTTAAATTTTCTAGTGTATATGGGACAAATGGATTTCATTATGATAGTTTTATAGGGCACATGAAGTCTTTTTATCTGATGCATCTTTATCCATTACTTTTTATTTTCTAAAACACTAAATTATCCTAATGGCCTGCAATATTTTATTTTCATTCATGCACAGAAAATCCCTAATGTTTCCACACAATATACATAAACCTTTGAAAACAACAACAAATCAGATAAAATTTTCATTTGGCATTTCATTCCAAATACCACTTGACACAGACACAGACACAGACAGGAAGGCATACAGACATATGCACATACACATGTGCATACACACACACACACACACACACACACACACTCACAAAACAAAGATAGGGAAACCTTGACTCAGAGGCCAAATCCAGCCTTCCTTTTATGAATAAAGTTTTATTATAACACAAAAGAAAAAAATATTTTTTGGGTCCATTCGTGGGGCCTGAACTCTGGGCCTAGGTGCTATCCCTCAGCTGTTCAGTTCAAGTCTAGCACTATACCACTTGTGCCACAGTGCCACTTCCAGCTTTTTCCTTTTTGCCTATGTGGTGCTGAGGAATTGAACCCAGGACCTCAGGCATGCAAGGCAAGTGCTTTACCATTGAGCCACCTTCCCAGCCCCAAGAAAAATAATTTTATATGGCTACATTTTTCTTGTTCCATTTTTTATATTTCTGTGCTTCTATTTATCTGTCAGATTCTGTATTATGTGCCATTACTCTCTCCCTGCCTGACACTCATTGGGTGGGGGAGGAGTGGGGGGGAGGAGGATTGGAGGGGGCCGAGGATGGGAAGGGATGGTAAGGGGAAACAAAAGAGGAGGCTATAATGCTTGATAAGAAATGTACTCATTGCTTGATAAGAAATGTACTCATTATCTTGCCCGTATAATAATTTCAACCCCTCTGTACACTATTTTCACAATAAAAAAAGAAAATGTGACATATATATATATATATATATATATATATATATATATGAAGACAGTTCTATGCCTTTATCAGAAAGAATGATACTGTCCCATTTGTAAGGATATGGAAAGACTTAGAAAAAATTATATTAAGTGAAGTAAGCCAGGCCCAAAGAAACATAGGTCCCACAGTTTCCCTTATTTGCAATAACTAGTATATGAATAGGACAAGCAGAAAAGGTCAAAAGATATGTATATATAACCATATAAGGTGATGTTCAGCAAAATGACCAAAAGATAGAGACACAAGAGGTTTTATCTTGGGTTGCTATTGTTTTAGTGTATTTATAGTGTACTATGTGATTATTTTGTTTCCCTTGTATATTCTTCCCCCATAGCATAACCCCTGTTTTCACTGTATTTGATTCCAGAGTCCTACATCTTATATACACATTTTGATAATTTGGAGAGGAAAAGGGAAATAATGAAATGCTGAAATATGGATATAGTTTGACCCATTGGAATAATAAGACACTATGTTGAAAATGAACTGTACAATGCTGTGAGAAGGAGTAGGGGAAGGGGAGGGAAGAGAAGTAGGTTAAAAACAAAGGAGAGGATAACAATGCCTGATAGAAAATGTACTCATTACCTTACTCATGTAACTGTTAACTGTACAGTACTTTTACAATAAACATATATATTAAAAAAGAAAATGTGCTGTATTCATACAACAGAATTCTAAGCTTCTATCCACCTGTGTTTTAAAAGTACATATGTGATATGTATTTTGATACCCAGTGCATGATTGTGAACAAGTGGAACAAAATATGTCCACTGCCCTGAAGTAGTTCTGTTCTCCAGGGCCTCTGAAGTCTCTGCATGGAATTTGGGTGTAACACATGTTGTCAATTTGAAAACAATTTTGATACTGCTTTAGCATTGTGATACAGAAAAATTTCCTTTCCTACTACTTGTTCTCAACCCAGTGCAGCATGGAAATATCTTCATCTATATTTGCATGTATAAATACAATTACCATTTGATGGCAAAATTTCAGAATGCCAAAGTAGAAATCAATTTTGGCATTGGTTGTGAGTGATTGGCATATCATTCCTGGGTTCATAAGAAGCACTGCTTCCTCAGGCAATAATAAATAGCTATATTTCTAGAGGCCTTTTCATATGGAATTCATGTTGAAAGCTGCTGGTATCAACCACTATGATTCTATGGCTGTTATTTACATTGTGTGTTTGAATTGACCCTCTGAGTGTGATGTTCTCAAAATGTTAGCTGACATCTCACAGGCATAGATTTTGTGTGGACATTTCACCATGCACAGGGCATGGCATCCTCTGAGGGAAATCAGTTGCACCATCCCAAATGGCTTTCATGCAAACAGTTTCGTGACACACATGCTGGACAAACTACATCCTGGAAAGCTCGATCTCTGGGGCCTCACTACCTATGGTCTTTGATGAAATCATAACTCCTGGGTGAAGAACACAAATGGACAAACATGTTTTCCAACTCATGTTTTTCTCCTGGATGAAGGCCACAGATGTAGAGCTCCAGGGAATACTTATACACATGACTTGTGGGGACTCACAAGAGGCTTTGATGAAAGGAGAGCTATAGTGTAGATCTCTATCAATAAAAAGACACATATGCACATATAAAAACATATATGAATATGCATGCCTAACATGTTGGCTTTACATCCAGACAGAATTTCAGCTTGGCAGAGGCTTCAGGCATGTATCTTTTCACTTTCAAACGCCTTCTTCTCCAGCTTCCCCTCCTCTTCAGGCCCTTGGCTGGCAATAGCTGCTTCTCTACTATGAAGCACCGAGCACACATGGATGGAGATGTGACCATCACTGGGTTTTTCCCTCTGAACAGTTTTGGAATAGACCACAGCAACAGCCATGTTTCCAATCAAGAAGAGCACACACCGTAAGTAATTCATCATTCTATTCCTATTTGCTGTTTCATTCTGAGGATGGGCAAAGACTAAGGAAAATCTGGGTGCACACATCAATGTTCTCTGTCTTTTCTATGCTGAAATCCATCTCTATTGTACCAGGAGCAGCTCAATTTCATTATTTTATCTTACATCTACTGTTAAGCAATTTTGCTAGTAGGACAGAATTTTATTTCCTTCCATACAGCTTCTTCTTTCCAAGCTGGTAAATTCTGCACTTTTCTCCAGCATGCCTGTATCTCCTCCATTTCATCTGTCATTGCAGAAGATGAAGTGATGTTACTACAATCACCCTGAGTCACTGGAATGAGATCTGTACTAAAAGTCTGCAACCACATTTCCTTCATGCTTAGGTCAGTAGTATGAGAACTTTTCTTTAGGAACCCCTATATTTTGAAAACATGGATAAAATTTCTTATCATCAGCTGGTGGCTCATACTTGTTAATTTTACTCTTGGTGCTGATATTGAAGCCAGCCCATGCAGGAACATCTGGGAGACTTTTTATCTCCAATTAACCTAGAAAAACCTGGAAGTGAAGCTGTGGCTCAAGTGACAGAGTGTTAGCCTGGAGGAAAAAAGTTCAAGGATAGTGTCCAGGCACTGATTTCATGTCCTAGGACTGTCTAACACACACACACACACACACACACACACAAACACACACACACACACACACACACACTGCCTCTCTCTCTCTTTCTCTCTCACTCTCTCACTGGCGAGAAGTAGTTACTGTTTCCCTAAGCCTTGTGTCATTACTTTATGTCAGATATGCTACACGACACATGCCTTACCAGGCAGGTTAGCATTATAAAGATTATACAGAAAAATTTCATCTGCCAAAGTTCTATTTTACTTGTTGTCATATATGTATCTTCTTTTTGGTCTTGAACAGAGAGCCTCACTAATAAAAGGCTATACCAAAAAAAAAAAAAAAAGAAAGAAAAATGACTTGCAGAACATCAACAGATTCTAACAAACTATTTGATTTCTATTGCAAGAGATAATGTCATTTTATCTATCATTTGCACTTGTTTAAAAGGGCTGGTTTGACAAGTAAATTCTGAGTTAGCTGCCCACAATTGAGAGCAGTGATACCAGGATAGTAATTACTCTCTTCTGAGCTCTGAAAGAAATATGGCCTTATCTTATATGTCATTGGTATGTTTATCTTTCTTCCTTTGTGCTGGTCCTTGGAACTCAAGGCCTGGGCACTATTGCTGAACACTATTGCTTAAGGTTAGACTCTAGCATTTGAGCCACAGATCCACCTATGGCAATTTGGGATGGTTAAAGGGAGATAAGAATCTCACCAACATCCCTGCCCAAGCTGGCTTCAAAGCATGATCCCCACCCGGAGAAAGTGAAGACTCAAGGCTAGGAGTGTCACCGGGGACCTAACCCCCTAGTCCCAGGGAAAGCAGAAGAGAGGGTGATTCCCTTGATAAGAACAGTGCCTAGGCAACCAAACACAGACCTGAAGACAAGACATCTTTATTTTTAGGATGACTGGCATCCATCCATCAGAACCCTGAGCTCTGATGTCCAAGTCTGTGCCAATATATTAGGTTAAGTAAGCCAATCATATTAGGTTTAGTAAGCCAGTCCCAAAGAAACAGAGGTTCTATAGTTTCCCTCATTGGAAATAATTAGTTTGTCCCTTAGATACTCCTGGCAGAGAACCATAACAGCTCAATAGCTATGTACATATGTACATATGTACATACATAACTAAATGATACTAATTGAAATAAACACCTAGACCTGGAACAACAGGTCTTCTTTTTTTGATTGTTGACCTTGTTGTGGCCTATATACTGCATCTAGTTCTTTCTTCTTATTTAATTTAATTTTTATTTTTTCTTTGGTTTACCCCTGGCAATCACTGTCTTTGATTCCAGTACCCTATGTTTTTGTGTGTACATTTATCTGATTTGGGCAAGGGGAATAACAAAATGCTGAAACAAGGACAAAGGATGAACCATGCAACAATGATACACACAAGACACTAAGTAGGAAATGAACTTTACAATTTTAAGGGAGGCAAGGAGGAGTAGGAGAGGGAAGGGATAGTGGGAGAAAAACAAAGGGGTTGGTAACAATGTTTGACAAGAAATGTACTTAGCTTACTCAGGTACAACATCTTTATAATGAAATACTATTTTAAAAAAATTTTCCTTGAAAAACACCTCATTTAAGCAACTAGTAATCAGTTAATTAAATTGAATATTTTTAATGACAATAATTTATTCATTTATGGTTGACAAATAATTCATAGCATTTCCATATTCTGTGCATGTTTTTACTGCTTTCTTTGTTGATTTCTGGCCTCACTACAGTGTGATGGGCACATGTGCTCAATAAACACACTTTCAATACATTTAATATCTGACTGGTTTTATTCAACAGCATAAAGAAAGCAATTGATATGGAGGGTTAATTTCATACCTGGCTATTTTGCCAAAGTTCTATATCAACTCTAGTAGCTTGAGAGAGGAGATTTTTGCAGTCCTTTTAGTAAAGTATAATATCTGTTTTACTTCTTGCTTCCCTATTTGGTTCCCCTAAATGTCTTTCTCTTGCTTACTACTCTTGCTGGGAATTCCAATGCTATGTTGAAGAGGAATGGAGAGAATGGATGTCCTTGTCTTGTTCCTGATTTTAGGGAAATGGCTTTACTTGTTCACCATTGAGCATAATGCTGGCTGTAGGTTTGTCATATACAGCATTTATAATATTGAGCAACATTACAAGGATTCCTAGCCTCTTCAGGGTTTTTATCACAAAGAGGTGTTGGATTTTTCTGCATTGATCAGGATGATCATGTGGTGCTTATCTTTGTTTCTGTTGATGTGTTGTAGTATGCTAACTGACTTATATAGTTTAAACCAAATTTGCATCCCTGGGACAAATCCATTTTGACCATGCTATATGAGTTCTTTCATTAGTTTGGAGTTCATGTACCAGTATTTTGTTGAGAACTGTCTCATCAATGTTCATCAAGGAGATAGACCTGAAGTTCCCTTTCCTCAATGTATACTTATCTGGTTTGTGGATAACTGTAATGCCTGCTTCATAGAATGAATAGTGTTCCCTCACTTTCATTTTCATTGAAGGGTTTTATAATTGATAATTCTCCTTTATCGGTATTATAGAATTTGGTTGTGAAGGCATCAAGTCCTGGGCTTTTGTTGGAAGTGAGATCTGCTATTGCCAGTTCAATCTCATTGTTTCTAATGGGTCAGTTTGTTCATTTTAATTTATATATTTGGTTTTGCTTTGCATTGTTACTATAGAGTTGATACACAGAAGGCTCACAGTGACATGTGTTAGGTAATCAATATTGAACACAATTCTTTTTGAACCATGTCTCCCCTTCCATCTCTTTCTCCCAGTCTTTCCCTCCTGTACATACACACAAGATGGCCAGTTCATCTTCCACATAGTGTCTAGTGGTTAACACTTGTTCCTCCTTGTTCCAACTTTTATGTGCCCCCCTGACCCTCCAAAACATAAACAAAAGGAGAAGAAACCAAAAAAGAGCTTTGATGGGAAACAAAAAAGTCTGTTTCCTTTTCTTAGAGTTCATTTCATAGCATATGATTTTATATGGCCATATATTATATAGCTATTGAGCCAGCAGCCCCTATTCCTATGCCTGTCCTCTTTTGGCCTACGTATGTTAATGTCTAGGGTCCTATATAAGTGTGTGTGCACATATATTTATTTACATATTTATATATTTACATATTTGTCAGTGTGTTTACTTGTAGATTTCTAGATATATTCCACTTACAGAAAACCAGGGAAAACATGCAACCTCTATTTCTTTGGCTCTGGCTTACATTGCTTAATATAATTTTTTTCAAAGTCTTTCCATTGCCTTACGAATGGTAAATTATTATTTTTTTCTGACAGATGAATAGAATTCCATTTTGCATCTATACCAAATTTTCTTCTATTTGTCCACTAAGGTTCATCTAGTTTGATTTCATATCTTGGCTATGGTAAACAAGGCTGCAATAAACATGGCTGTTTAAAGCTTGGGGCTTTAGTGTGGTCTGGTTTGTGGTCCATTGGATATATGCCCAGGAGTGGCATTGCTGGGACTAAAGGAAGCTCTGTGTTTAGTCTTTTAAGAAACCTCCATACCACTTTCCAGAATAGTTGAACAAGTTTACAATCCCACCAACAGTTTCATAGTATTCCTTTTAGGACTCATCCCTGCCAACTTTTGGTATTGTTAGTTTTCCTGATAAAGTCGGCGCTAATTGGAGTGAGGTAGAATCTCAATGTTATTTTGATTTGCACTTGTCTTGTGGCCAGAGATGTTGAACACTTGTTCGTTTGTGTGTCTATTGGCCATTCTTTTTCTTCCTCAGAGAAGTCTCTCTTTAAGTCAGCCTATTTATTGATTGAGTAGTTGAGTTTGGGGAGGTTTTTTTGGAGGGTTAATTTTTTGAGCCCTGTCTATATTTTAGATATGAGGCATTTGTCTCACGTGTACTGAATGAAGATTTTCTCTCATTCTGTGTGTTATTTACCTTGTTAACTATGTCCCATGCTATGCAGAAATTCTTCAGTTTAATATAGTCCCATTTATCCAGTTATTCTTTAATTTGTTTGATTCTGTATCTTTTAGAAACTCTTGCCCCATTCCAAGAAGGTTTAGGATTTCCCTTACCTCTTCCTGTAATATTTGCATACTACATGGTTTTTAGTCCACTTACACTTGATTCTGGTACTAGGTGATATATGGATATCTAGCTTCAGTTTTCTGCATGTAGCTAACCCAATTTTCCAGCACCATTTGTGTAACAGGATATCTTTCTTCCAAACTGTGTTTCGGGCTCCCTTATCAAATATTAAGGGGTTCTATATTTGTGGGATTGTTTCTGCATCTTTTGTTCCATTGTATTTGTCCTCAGGCCTAGTCTTGTGACACTAATAAGCTATTTTTCTTACTATGGCTTTGGAATATAGATGATTCCCAACTTTTGTTAATGCCAAGGCATATTCTTTTTTCTGAGGCAATTACAAATGATGTTACTTTTCTGATTTCAGTGTTGTTGGCACACAGGAAGACAACTAATTATTGTGGGTTGATTTTATACCACATTACTTTGCCAAAGGTTTAAATCAACTCAAATAGCTTAGGTGAGGAATATGTAAGATTCTTTAAATACATGATCATATTGTCTGTAAAGAAGGGTAGAATTACTTTTTAGATTTTTCTCTGACAGCTTTTGGGATTTAGCTCTAATTTTCATCCAGTGTGTTCTGATAGTATTAAAGGGAGTAAGGACAATTTTTTTTTTAATTTGCATAGGTTTGCTTTGTTACCTAATATGTGGCCTATTTTGAAGGATTGCCATGGGCTGGGGAGAAAAATATATATTCTAATGCTGTTGGTTAAGAGTCTGTAGATGTGTGTTCAATCTACTTGGTTGATTTAGTTTATAGTTCTAAGGTTGCTTTGGTGAGTTTTGCCTAGTTAATATACCCAGAGATAAGAGTAATAAGTTGAAGTGTCCAGTTATCAATGTGTTTTGACTATGTGTATTTTTAAATCAAGTAGTATGTGTTTGATGAAGTTGAGTGCCCCAGCCTTTGAAGATATTTAGAATTGTCATATCTTTTGTATAGTTTGTTATTTGTTTAGTTCCTGTAGTATAATCAGTATATAGTATATACAGTATAATTGCAATATATAGTATATACTATAAAATTTATATATATATCAAAATATAGTATAATTGTATAGTTCTCTTTATTAGTATGTAATGATCTTGTTTCTCTTTCTTTACTGATTTTAATTTGAAGTCTATTTTAGCATATTAGGATATTAGGATTGGTACTCTATCCTCTTTATTCCAAACTTTCAATTGGAGAATGCTCTGTTAGCAAGTTTTGTCTAGTGTAGGCAACAGATGGACAGATCTTGCTTTTGGATCCAAGTAGTCAGTCTATGTCTTTAATTGGAGAGTTAAGTCCATAAATATTGAGGGTTAGGACTGAGGGGTGTCTGGTAATTACTGCTGTGCTATTTCCAGCTTTAGGGGTTGTGAGTTTTTCCTGTTCTTAAAAATAAGTAAGGATCTCTATTCAGTGTGCCAGAGATCAGGGCTATTCTGCATTGCAGTTTCTATGGGAATTGCCTAAGTTGGGACGCCTTTAGAGGAAGAGCCTTATTCCAAATTGTAACTTGACCCTTCTTGATACTGGAGCTATATGCAGCTGCTACCAGCAGTGATGCTGTGTGGGAAATGTAATAAGGGAGGTAATAGTTTTTAGCCTTCTTTCCTGTGTAGAGGTGAGTTCTGGTGTTCCCAGGTGCCTTCATGGAGGCATGTGTTCCCTATGTGCGTTGCTGTCTGCTGGTGGGAGTTCTCATCAGTTTGGGAGTTGTATTTTGTTGGCACAGGTGCAGATCATGGAGTTGTTTTCCCAGTTGATTCCCTGGCTACATGTAGCATTGCTATCCCCTGGCAGGAGTTTGGGAGAGATTTTGGAGTTGTAGTTTCCTGGCAGAGAGGCAGAGCTAAGTCTCAGGGGACTCCTCTAGTAGTGAGTGACAAACAGTATGGGGAAAGAGTTTGGTTTCTTGCCCTCTTCAAATATGCTCCCTCCTCCTTAGGCAGGAGATTCAGTCAGGGCATTTTGGATAACCACAAGTAGCTGGTCCTCCAGGGAGGGTTCCAGATGAGGATTCACTGATTCTGGAGCCTGTTCTGAGCTGGCAAAGGGACTCTTGGTGAGGGGCCTCTGTGTCTGAATGTGGCAATCTCAATCCCCTCTTCATTCCCCCCCCCCCCACACACACACCCTGGTCCTGTGATTTCTCTCTCCTCCACTGTGTTGTGGCAGCTGCAGCAGCCTCTCAGTAGGGGTCCTCAAAGCTGATTTCAGATCTGACCTGTGTTTCCTCTTTGTGTTCCTAGGGTTACTGCAGTGTGGTGTGATTTCTTCAGCATTACACTGGTCTTCTGTTTAAGATGTGGCATTTCAGGCATGTCCTTCTGAGTCTCCCAGGGCTGCCTGGGGAGGCAAGGGGCCTAGGCTGCAGCTGCTCAGCAGGAGTCTGCATGCTGTCTTGATGTTTTCTGCTTTTGTGTTTCTGCCAGGAGATTTCTTCTTTAGTAGAATGAGTCTCAGTAACAGAGGGACCCATCAGCTGCACTGGACATTGACCAAAATGAACTAAGCAACTCCATGGCAGCAATGGGAAAGAGAGAACAAGTGGGAAAGAAGGAACAGCTGATGCTATACAAAACAAAGAAATGTACATGTCACCCAATGTGGAAGAAATAACTGTATCGCAAAGATCATAGAACTAATAAATGTTATAGACCGTGATAGACAATTTGCACGAGGAAAGTTAGAATGTGTTTGTGACTTTAACTGAGTATCACAATCCCACAATACTGTGAAATTTGTGGAATTATGTAACCACTAAATCACAATAAAAAATTTGAAAAAAAAATAAAAAAGAATGAGTCTCAGGCTAGGAAGGTGGCTCAGTGGTAGAGCGCTTGCCTTGCATGCTAGAGGCCCTGGGTTTGATTCCTCAGCACCACATAACCAGGGGAAAAAAAGATGGAAGTGGTGCTTTGGCTCAAGTGGTAGAGTGCTAGCCATGAGCTGAAGAGCTGAGGGACAGCACTCAGGCCCAGAGTTCAGGCCCCAGGACCGGAGCCAAAAAAAAATGTGTGTGTATATATATATATATATATATATATATATATATATATACACATATATATATGTATACATATATATATATACACACATATATGTATGTATATATATATATATACACATATATATATATATATATATATAATGAGTCTCTGTGTAAAGTTTGATTGGAGTGCAGCTCTTAAGGTGACATATGTGCTGGTACCCTAAGTGTCTGTTTAAGCAGAAACACATAGTGAGTTGACTTGTGATGATGCCCCCTTCTTCCTAAAATTGTCTTTGAAGTGCAATCATTAGGGTATTGACTTGAGATTTTCTGTTGTTGATATAAGCATGTACAGACATGAATTGTCCTGAGAACTGCCTTGTTGTGTGCCACATTTGATATTTTATGTATTCTTTTCCATTGAATCCAAAAAAAAATTAAATTTTATTTCTTTTACCTGAAAAACCTACTGAAGACTATGCAATGAATTCTTCAGTTTCCATGAGCAAATATTTTCTGTGATTGGTGTTGCTGTTGCACTCACTTTTATTGAATTCACAGAATACAGTATATATAGCCTTGTATATTTTTATTTTTATTTTGGACTGAAAAACTTACGTTAGTATTGCTTGTAGGAAAGGTCTAGTGGAGATACAATCGCTTACCTGTGCTTCTTTGGGAATATTTTTATTCTTCCTTCATTTCTAAGGGTATCTTTGCTAGATAAAATAATTTTGTTGGATAATTATTTTTTAATCCGCTGTACTATAATGATCTCCTGCCATGTTCTCCTGACTTATATGGAATCTGCTGAAGAGTAAACTCTTAGGAAAATGGGGGCACACCTATATGATATGGGTCCCATTTCTATTATACTTTTGAGAATCTTCCCTGAATATACATTTCAAGTGTGAGTGCTTCATCATAAGACAGCTTGCTATAGATGTCATAGTCAAAAGTCTGATTATTCTTTCATGTTTAGGTCATTGAATTCTTCTCTACATTGAATTCTTCTCTACATTTGTTTTGTTTTTTTTTTTTTCAAAATACTGTTGTCAACTTTTATCAAACCTTTTCCATACATTCTTGCTTTTTTATTCATAAATATATGTGTGTTTAATTATAATTTTCCTCAACCTCACTATACTTTCCTGTTTAGAATACTTCACAAAAAATTATAGGCTTTCTTTGTGATCATTTCATATGTCACTACAGTATATGTTGACTAAGGTAATCCTTTCATTAATATTTCAAATGTGTCTTCATTGTTTCCTCTTAAACAATGCCAGTTAATTTCACTAATATCTTTAGGATACATACAAGTGAATGGAGGCACTTGAACAAATGAACACACAAATACACACACAAACACACACAAAGGACACACAGAAAAAAGGAAAAATACTTTGAGCCTATTTATTTTGCTCTCTTGGCCTCTTTTCAGTTTTTCACTCTAACTATATTGGGAAGAGAGTAATGATCACTGCATTTTTACCATGGGGGCCTCGGAACTGGGATTTGAATGTAAAGCTTGTTTACAATTCTCTCTTCAACTCTCATATTGTGGGTTCTTCTCTCCGTAATGAGTTCCTTGGAATTGGATGCATCCCTTTTGTTTTGTTACACAAATAAAAATAAAAATCCCTCACCAGGTATTAGAGCTCTGGTTCTGCTGGTTATTGCAGTAAGAACTGTTCAGTATTCTGGGTATATGAGCACAGCTTGCTACAGGATAGTTCACAAATAACACTTTGCTTCTGAAAGTAGCACTTAAATTGAACATTGATTGATTAGCCCGACCTGCCATATAAATACATAATACCTGGGTGACAGAAATGAACCCAAAGACACATATCCATCTAATCTTCTATGAAGGAGATAAAAAAATAGAATGGAAGAAAGACAGCCTCTTCAGTAAATGGTGCTGGCAAAATTAATTAATCACTTGTAGAAAACTAAAAACTAGATCCTCATATATCACTGTACACCACAATTAAGGCCAAATAGATCAAAGACCTTGGAGTCAAAGCAGATTCCCTGAAAATATTACAGAATGGAATAGGAGAAACCCTAGGTCTCCTTGGGACAGGCCAAAATTTTCTTAATAGAGTCCAAGAAAGACAACAAATCAAAGAAAGGTTAGACAAATGGGTTTGCATGAAGCTGCAGAGCTCCTGCATGCCAAAGGACATACCTAGCAAGATCAATAGAAAGCCCAGGGATTGGGAGAAGATCTTCACTAGTCATAAAATGGACAGAGGTGTCATATCTAAAATATACTTGGAAATTAAAAAAATAAATACCCCAACAACAAATCCCCAAAGAAACAACCACCCAATAAACAACTGGGCTAAAGATTTCAGAGAAACTTCTCGGAAGAGGAAATAAGAATGGCCAATAGACACAGGAAGATATGCTCAACCTCTCTAGCCATAAAATAAATGAAAGTCAAAACAAAGTTCATTTTTCGACATAAGGTCTTGTACATCTCATTGTTGCAATGGGTCCAGCTGTATCCCTATTTAAACAATCTGTTTTTTCCCTTCCCCTCCACAAATTATATCAACGTCAAATACAGTGAAAACAGGGGTTAACCGTGGGGAAGGAACATACAGAGCAACCAAGATATCATCTTATAAATATGTTGGAAACAATCCCAAGAAAGAGAAAACATTTGAGTCCTCATCTTTGGGTTCATTTCGTCTAACATCAACTTATCTGAACGTTTCTGCTTGTCTTAGACATATACTACTTATTGCAAATTATGGAAACCATGGGACCTATGTTTCTTTGGGCCTGGCTTACTTCATTTAGTATAATTTTTCCAACTCTCTCCATTTCCTAACAAATGGGGCAATGTCATTCTTTCTGATGGAGGCATAGAATTCCATTGTGTATATATACCACATTTTCTTGATCCATTCATCTACTGAGGGGCATCTGGGTTATTTCCATATCTTAGCAATGGTAAATAATGCTTCAATAAACATAGTTGTGCTGGTAGCTTTAGTATGGTCTTGTTTGTGATCATTTGGATAAATGCCCAAAAGTGGGATTGCTGGGTCATAGGGGAACTTATGTGGAGTCTTTTGAGGAACCTCCATACTAATTTCAAAGTTGTTGAAGAAGCTTACACTTCCACCAACAATGCACTAGGGTTCCCTTCTGTTCACATCCCCTCCAGCATTGACATACCACCTCAACCTAGATAGAATGGCTATAACCAGAAATAATAACAACAGATGCTGGAGAGCATCATGACAGAAGGGAAACTTACCACATTGTTGGTGGAAATGTAAACTTGTTCAACCACTTTGGAAAGAAGTATGGAGATTCCTCAAAAGACTCCACATAGAGCACCCCTATGCCCCAGCAATCCCACTTTTTGGCATTTACCCAAATGATCACAAACAAGACCATAATAAAGCTATCAGCACAACTATGTTTATTGGAGCATTGTTTACCATAGTGAAGATATAGAATCAACCCAGATGCCCCTCCGTAGATGAATGGATCAAGAAAAAATGGTATATATACACAATGGAATTCTATGTCTCCATCTGAAAGAATGACATTGCCCCATTTGTTAGAAAATGGAAAGACTTGGAAAAAATTATATTAATTAAAGTAAGCTAGGCCCAAAGAAATATAGGTCCAATGCTTTCCCTTATTTGCAATAACTAGTACATATCCTCTGAGACAAACAGAAAAGGTCATATAAGATGATGTTAACTTTAATTAACCACAAGGTAAGGACACAAGAAGTTTTTCACTACTTGCTGTTGCTTCTAATGTATTTATAAGGTACCAGGTGGTTTTTTGTTGCTTTGTATGTCCCTCTCCCACTGTATAACCCCTGTTTTCACTGTATTTGATGATCATATAATTTGTGGAAAGGAAGAGAAAAACAAATTGTTTAAACAGGGATGCAGGTTGACCCACTGCAACAATAAGATGTAGAAAATGCTTTCCAAAAAACGAACTTTTCAATATAGGCTGGGAGTGGAGGGGATTTGTGGAGATGGTATGAAAGGGATGGTAAGGGGTAAACAAAGGAGGAGACAACAATTCTCGAAAAGGAATGTACTCATTGCCATGCTCATGTAACTGTAACTTGTCCTCCGTACAGTATTCTCACAATAAAAAACTTATTAAAAGTTAAAGTGGGTGAAAAAAACCACAAGATTTATTTTTCACACAGGTGTAGCTAGTTGCCCTAAGATAAAGGCAACAGAATATTTCCTGTCTCATAAAAATCTATTGGCTGTAGTGAATGTTTGGTGGTGGTGGGGAAGCAAGCTCTCTCTCTCTACTTAACTGAGTTTCTGAATCGTATTCATGACAAATGCCCTTCATGTCTTCGTCTAATTCTCTATACAACCATAACATATTACATACATATTCCATTCCAATTGGGGTAATAATTTAAACAATTCATTGGCAAAGAAGCAAGTATTTACTATACTAAAGTCATAAGTTTATAATAATCCTCCTATATGTCTATGCCAATTATGCAGGTTTGTGTTCAAGAACTATCAGTTCGTGTTGGCTTTGGCTTTTGCTATTGAGGAGATCAACAAAAACTCTGATTTTTTAAGTAACTGGACCCTGGGATTTGACGTCTATGATGTTCAATTCAGAGATTGGACAATGCTTAAGAATCCCTTCATTTGGCTTTTTGGGAAGTACAAGATTCCAAACTACTCCTGTATGAAAGACAGCAGGTCTATAGCAGTACTTACAGGACCATTAGGATTCACATCTGACAAAATTGAAACATTGCTGGGACTCTACAGATTTCCACAGGTAAGAATGGTGGTGTCAAAAGTTATAAAAAACGTCTAGTTTGATGTCATTTCAGGTGTTAGAAGAGAATGATAGGAGAGACTGGATTTATAAACCTATGAAATTTTGTGGTATCAAAGAATAAGTACTTAAAGATATATATAGATATATATCCACATTTTGAAAAAGGATATGGAAAAGTTAGAGAAGACAAATAGATAATTTATTGTTGCAAGCCTATCAATAATCTCCTTTGAAAGAATGAGTTAATGGAAAATGAATTGGCAGTGTGAATATATTAAGCAGAGTACTAATGGTCCACACCAGCAATTCTAGCAATCCAGGAAACTTGTATCTAGAATTGACCAGCAACAAGCTGTTAGACCAACAAGTTGGCTCAAGTGGTAGACCAGTCTTGAGAGAAAAATCCAACAAAGTGCATGAGGACATGAGTTTGTGCCCCTCTACTGGCATGTATGTGCACAATCATACACACACACAAACACACACACAAAAACACATACACAAGATATTATGTTGAATTAAGTAAGTCAGGTTCAGATTGAGATGGGGAAATGTGTTCTCTTATATGGGAGAGCTAGATCTAAAATATGAACATGTAACACACATATACTTTATGTGTGTGTGTGTATAATCAAGCTGATTAAAGCATGGTGTATATACAGGTAGAACTCGATGCTATACTTTCTTATCTACTGACAGTACAAAAATAAACACCATAAACCTGAAGCATAACTGAGAAGGGTAAGTGTTGAGGGAAAACATGAGAGGAATAGGGAATCGATGGGATGGAATACACAGAACACTCACTGTACATATGTGAAAATGGAATTAGGGAGTGGGTGGGGTTGATATAGATGGGAGGAGTTTATGGAAATAGTGACAAAGATCAAGAGACATTGTACAATTTATATGTTATACAACTCCTCAAAAACAATTAAAACATTTTTTCAAAAACTAAAATGGGACCAAGATGGCGACGGGGCAGTAGGGAAACGCCACAGCTCTCTCCAACCAAAAAGAGAGTTCGAGTTCCAACGCTTAATCTTCCCAAGAGACCGACAACAACAAAAAGATGAACACTCAGAGAAAAACCAGAGTTGGAAAATAACAAAAAAAGAAAGAGAGGAAAAGAAGAATTTCAGAACAGAGAAGAGCGAAGACCCCTCCCCCAACCTTTACTGGCCGCGCGGCAGTACGCCAAGCCGCCGGCCAGCCGGCCCGGCGGGGGCTGCCGGAGCCCCAGAGACACAGGGGGCTGCTTGCAGATCACCAGGTACCGGATTGCAGAACAGCGGATCGCCAGGAACAGAGAAACCTACCAGCCGGGAGTCTACACGAGGATCCCACCCCCACCCCTCACTCTCCACCGGAGCAGAGAGGCTCCATCCCGCCAAAGCCGCTCGGCACCAGCAGCATGACAAACTGACCTGTCGGCAGACCACCCGCCCAATCGCGATTGCAACGACCCGGTGGGGGCTGCCCAACCCAGCCCGCAACCACCCCAACTGAACTCGGATTGCAACAGCAACTGACCACCTACACCACACAGAAACAACTAGCTCCAGGGTGAGTACCCCACAGGGGACAGTGTATCCCTCAAGGGAGACCAGAGCTGGAGGGAATCCCCAGACCCTGACCTAGACTCCCTACCCCAACACCCGGACCACAGGACCCACTAAAACTGGGAACTGTTCGAGAGCTCCACTAGCCGGTGGAGCACACTCTGCTGGCCAGGCCAGAGCAAGAGTGCCCCTGGAAGGGAGCTTAAATGCCCAAGCCAGGAACAGCGCCCCTGGGTCAAGACTACCAACAGTAGAAGAAATTTGAACTGTGTCCTCCAGGCTGCATAACCTAGGTGGTATACACATCAGCACAGGCCTAACGAGCGCGCTCCAGGCTGGGGCCAGAACCAGGCCCGGGGATCCGGCGCCTGAACAACACAACCAACTCCTCCCAACTGAAGTAAAAAGCTGAGCATACGCCTCAACAGAGGGGAGAAAACCAGGAAACAACACTCCCCGGGAAGCACGCCTGTGACAACAAAAGACCTGGAGGCTCAGGACAAGAGAAGCCCAAACACCACCAAAACTCCACCCATATACCCTAGGCTGGGAATTGGGCAACACAGGCTGCCAGCACCTGATAGTAAGCAAGAGCTCAGGCTGATAAGGCGGCTCAGCAATAGAGTGATAGTCTTGGATGTATGAGGCCCTGGATCTGATTCCTCAGCATCACAAAAGCAAAAAGGGTCAGAAGTGGTGCTGTGGCTCAAATGGTAGGGTGCCAGCCTTGAGCTGAAGAGCTGAGGGACAGCACCCAAACCTAGAGTTCAAGCCCACAACCAGCCCAAAACAAACAAACAAAAACACATCAGGAGCCCATAGCAGACTCCAGTATTTGGGAGAGTACATCCAGAGCATCTGATCTTCCCAAGAGCACCCGTAGGAGCAAACATAAGCAGTCTAGGCTGCTCAACCCTTCCAAAGGCGGGAATTGCCAGCAATCTACAGCAGAGAGCTGAGAATCCTAAGTAAGTCAGAATAGCAGCTAGAAATAGGCTCCCAACAGAACCCAGATCAGGCACAGACTCTCTCTACCAGTACAGAATCAGCAACCAAGCAAAGACAGACACGCCAAAACAAAATTGAAGAGCAGTCTCCTGAACCCCCATGCGAAAATCACAGAGAAAAATCACAAGGTTTACCACCACCCAGGACAGCAAGCTCACTTCAAAAACTGGCAGCCATGCAGGGGAGAGCCCCAGTGGGAGCAAAGCAGGAATGGAAGACAAAAGCTACATCCAAGGGTTGCTGGAGGCAATGACTCAAGAAATAAAGCGAGAAATGGATCAGAAATTGAAAGAGCACAAGGATGAACTATCAAAAGAGATACAGGATATCAAACAAAAGTTGGATGCAAAAATAGAAGCTGGACAAACCTCAGTAAGAAGTGAGATAAACGCCAAATTAGAGGTAATGCATACTGATCTCACCTCATTGAGAGGTGAGATCAGTACTCTGAGAACCAACATTGAATCCATAAAGGGATCCATTTCCTCCATGCAAACCACAATAGAAGCCACGGTCAACAGAGTGAATGAAATGGAAGGTAGAGTGTCAGATACAGAAGACAGAATACACCAACTGGACCAAAAAGTGACAGATATGGAAAAATCACTCAAATTAAACCAAAGGGAAATTCAAGAGCAAGCAGATAATGCTAAAAAATTTAACCTCCGCATAATTGGAGTGGACGAAGGTGAGGAATTCCAGAGCAAGGGAATGCAACACCTATTTAACAAGATAGTCAATGAAAATTTTCCCCACCTCAAAAACGACCATCTTAACTACATCACAAAAGCTTATCGAACACCCAACAAGCAAGATCCCAGGAGAAACACTTCTAGACACATTATAGTAAAAATGATGGATCTGAATAATAAGGAAACAATCCTGCATGCAGCAAAAATGAAGAAGGAGCTATACTACAACGGGAAAAAAATTAGAATCACTGCAGATCTCTCCACACAAACAATGAATGCAAGAAAAGCCTGGGAAAGCACCATACGAGCCCTGAGAGCCAATAACTGCCAACCCAGACTGATATACCCGGCAAAGCTAGCATTCACATTCGATGGAGAACTGAAAACTTTTAATAGCAAAGAAAAACTAAATGAATACATAAACATTAAGCCAGCATTACAAAGAATTCTAAGAGGGGGGACACAACCTGAAGAAAGCAACCAGGAACTGGGACCTGCCCCAAACAGGCATTACTCAAAGTCTAACTGAGCAAGCACAGGAGAAAAGGAAAGAAGAAAAACTTAGGAAAACGGAATGGCAGGGACAACAATGCATCTCTCTATACTTTCTCTTAATATAAATGGACTTAATTCGCCAATTAAAAGAAAACGAACTGAGGACTGGATCAGAAAACAAGACCCATCCATCTGTTGCCTTCAGGAGACCCGCCTCTCAATACAAACAAACTCAGAGTGAAGGGGTGGAAAAGGATCTACCAATCAAATGCCCCCAGTAAGAAAGCAGGTGTAGCTATCCTGATATCTGACAAAATAAACTTTTCATTAAAATCAGTACAGAAAGACAAGGACGGACACTACATATTAATACAGGGAACAATCCAAGAGGAGGATATAACCATCATCAACTTATATGCCCCAAATATTAGTGCACCCAGATATGTCAAACAAATGCTCTCAAACTTTCAGAATAAAATAGATCCCAATACGATAATACTAGGAGACTTTAACACGCCACTCTCACCAAAGGACAGGTCTACCAACCAGAGGATTGGCAAAGAAGCTACCGAATTAAGTGAGGCCATACTTCAAGTGGAATTAACTGACATCTACCGAGTATATCACCCTAAAACAACACAGTACACATTCTTCTCAGCAGCTCATGGAACTTTCTCCAAAATAGACCATATCATAGTTCATGCAAGGAACTTAAGCAAATACAAAGGGATCGACATAATCCCCTGTATCCTATCTGACCACAGTGGAATCAAGCTAGCTCTCAATAACAAAGCATACCACAGAAATTTCTCTAATACATGGAAATTGAACAGCACACTCCTTAACAAGGCCTGGGTAACAGAAGAGATCAGAGAAGAAATAAAGCATTTCCTACAACTCAATGAAAATGAAAACACCTCACAAAGAAACTTGTGGGACACAGCAAAAGCAGTCCTGAGGGGCAAATTTATTGCCCTCAGTGCCCACATCAAGAGAATGGAGACAGACCAAGTAAATAATCTCATGTTGCAACAAAAACAGCTAGAAAAACAAGAAAAAAATGGGACCTAAAGCTACAAGATGAAGCCAGATAACCAAATTAAGAGCAGAGATTAACCAATTAGAAAATCAGAAAACCATAACCAAAATAAACCAAACAAAAAGCTGGTTCTTTGAAAAAATAAACAAAATTTAGGCCCGTTGGCAAGATTAATTAAAAAAAGAAGAGAGGAAACCCATATTAATAGGATTAGGGATGCCACCGGAAACATGACAACACGTACCCAAGATATCCAAAAAATTCTAACAGACTACTTTCAAAAGCTATACTCTCTAAAGGAAGAAAATCTGGCAGAAATGGATGCATTTTTAGAGAAATACAAGTTACCCAAACTGAGCAAAAAAGTTAACCAATTAAATAAGCCAATATCCTATAATGAGATACAGGAAGCTATCAAAAGTCTTCCAACAAAAAAAAAAGCCCAGGACCAGATGGATTCACAGCAGAATTCTATAAGACCTTTAAAGAAGAACTAATACCCATACTCCTCAAGCTCTTCAGAGAAACAGAGAAGGAGGGAGCTATCCCAAACTCATTCTACGAAGCCAATATCACACTCATCCCCAAACCAGGCAAAGACCCAACCAAAAAGGAGAATTACAGGCAATTTCCTTGATGAACACAGATGCAAAGATCCTTAACAAGATTCTAGCTAACGGAATCCAGAAACACATAAAAAAAATAATACACTATGATCAGGTAGGCTTCATCACAGAGACACAGGGAAGGTTTAACATACGTAAGTCAATAAATGTAATCCAGCATATCAACAGAGCCAAGGTCAAGAATCACATGATTATCGCCACAGATGCAGAAAAGGCCTTTGATAAAATTCAACATTCATTCATGCTAAGAGCTCTGGAGAAAATAGGAATAGAAGGAACATTTCTAAAAACAATAAAAGCCATTTATGACAGAACAATAGCCAATATTATACTTAATGAGGAAAAGCTACAACCAATCCTCCTAAAATCAGGAACAAGGCAAGGATGCCCACTGTCTCCACTCCTCTTCAACATAGTCCTAGAACCCTTAGCCAGGCCAATAAGGCAAGAAAAAGACATTAAAGGGATCCGCATAGGGAAAGAAGAAGTTAAACTATCCCTTTTTGCAGACGACATGATACTATACCTCCACGATCCCAAAAACTCCATCCCCAAACTTTTAGAAATCATAAGTCACTGCGGCAAAATAGCAGGATACAAAATAAACCCACAAAAATCAGTTGCCTTCCTATACACTGAAAACGTACAGGAAGAGAGGGAAATAAAGGGAGCAACCCCATTCACAATAACCTCCCAAAAAATAAAATATTTAGGAATTAACCTAACCAAAGATGTAAAAGAACTATTTAATGAGAACTATAAAAAGTTAAAGAAAGAAATTACAGAAGACACTAGGAAATGGAAAGACCTCCCATGCTCCTGGATAGGCCGACTTAATACAGTAAAGATGGTAATACTTCCAAAACTAATATACAAATTCAATGCAATTCCTATTAAAATCCCAATGACGTATATCACTGAAATACAGAAAACAGTCCAAAAATTTATATGGAACAACAAAAGACCTAGAATAGCCAAAACAATTCTAGGGGATAAAGACAATATGGGAGGGCTATCCATGCCAAACTTCAAACTCTACTACAGAGCTATAATAACAAAGACAGCATGGTACTGGCACAAAAACAGACCCAAAGACCAATGAAACAGAATAGAAGATCCAGAAATAAATCCACAGGCCTACAGCCAGCTGATATTCGACAAAGGAGCCAAAGACATACAATGGAAGAAACACAGCCTCTTCAACCGCTGGTGCTGGGAAAACTGGGCAGCCACATGCAGAAAACTAAAAGTGGACCCCAGCCTATCACCATGCACCAACATCAACTCAAAATGGATTAAAGACCTTAACATTAAACCTGCATCTCTGAAACTACTGCAGGACAGAGTAGGAGAGACACTTGAACTAATAGGCACAGGAAGGAACTTCCTGAACAGAGTCCCAGGGTCACAACAAGTTGGAGAGAGACTCGACAAATGGGACTACCTTAAAAAAAAAAAGCTTCTGCACAGCTAAATCTATCGCAACTAAGCTAGAAAGACAACCAACTAATTGAGAAAAAATATTTACCAGCAATATATCAGACAAGGGGTTAACATCCTGTATATACAGGGAACTCAAGAAACTAATCCCTCCCAAACCTAACAAACCAATTACTAAATGGGCAAGGGAACTAAAGAGGGGCTTCTCAAATGAAGAAATAAAAATGGTAAAGAAACACATGAGGAAATGTTCATCATCCCTGGTGGTGAAGGAAATGCAAATAAAGAAAACCCTGAGATACCACCTTACCCCAGTCAGAATGTCCCACATCCACAAATCAGCCAACGACAAATGCTGGAGGAGATGTGGAGAAAGAGGAACCTTATTACACTGCCGGTGGGAATGTACACTTATACGACCACTTTGGAAAGCAGTCTGGAGGGTCCTTAGAAAGCTAAAGATTGACCTCCCTTACGACCCAGTCATACCACTTCTAGGCATCTACCCTGAACAACAGGAACCAATATACAAGGACACATGCACCTCCATGTTTATTGCAGCACTGTTCGCAATAGCTAGGATATGGAAACAACCTGGATGCCCCACCACAGATGAATGGATCCAAAAATTGTGGTATCTATACACAATGGAATATTATGCAGCCATTGGAAATGACAAAATAATGGCACTTGCAGGGAAATGGATGGAGCTAGAAGGAATCATGTTGAGCGAGGTAAGCCAAGAACAAAGAGACAAACGGTACATGGTCTCCCTGATAAGTGGATGCTAAATCCAAAATGTTAGGTGATACGACAAAATTAACAGGACTTAAGAAACAAAGAACTCCCGTTCATCTGGTTGAACCACTACTAAATATCCCCATGCTGCTGATCACAAATATGGTATATAACATGTGAACACTGTTATATATTACAGACTGTGATAGACAATTTGCTCCAGGAAAGTTAGAATGAACTTGTAACTTTGAAATTATGTAATCACTTAATCACAATCAAAAAAAAAAAAAAGAACCTCGGGGAAGGGAGGGAGGGAGGGTATGGTAGGGGGAAAACAATGGAGGGGGTAACAATGTTCAAGAGGAAGTGTACTCATTACCTCACTCATGTAACTGTAACCCTCTGTATAGTATCTTTACAATAAAAAAAAAAACTACAATGGAATCTACCTTCCACCTACTTCAACTGCTTCTTCACATACATCAAGACTCAAATTTTGATGGATGGCAATGCTCTAATTCATAAATCAACAATTTCCTTTCCCTTTAGCTTACCTTTGGGGCTTTTTCTCATGCCTTGAGTGACCATCACAAGTTTCCTGCTCTCTATCAGATGGCTCCAAAGGACACATCGATAGCCATTGCCATGGTCTCCTTACTGCTTCACTTCAACTGGAACTGGGTGGGACTATTGAACTTAGAGGATGAGAATGGTTTGTGGTCTCTTCCTGAATTGAAAGAAGAGATGGCCAAGAACAGAGTTTGTGTAGCCTATGAGCTAGTGATCTCAAGCCAATCAATATCACATATACTCCAAGCCATGGCAGTTTATAATGATATAAATAAATGTTCAGCAAATGTCCACATCATACATGGTGATAATGGTTTACTAAGAGCTTTAATCGTATGCATTGAGCAACTTTTAATAAAAGGCAAGGTTTTCATCATGAACTCACAGTGGGATTTCACCATGAAAAGGAAGTATTTCATGGTAGGCTCATTGCATGTACCTCTCATTTTTTTACACCATCAAAAAGATGTTTCTGGATTCACAGATTTTGTCAAGGCAGTTAATCCTTCCAAATACCCAGAAGACATTTTCCTTGCTAGGATATGGTTTCTGTTTTTTAATTGCTCAAATCCTCAGTCTGACTGTGTGACATGGGACAACTGTCCTCATGAGGCCTCTTTGGATTGGTTGCCTGGGCGTGTTTTTGACATGACTATGTCTGGACACAGTTACAATATATACAATGCTGTGTATGCTGTGGCCAAGGCTCTCCATGAGATGCTTCTTCATCAGACAGAAGTTCAAATAATGGGAAATAGAAAAGGGACACTGCCTTCCCCTGCACAGGTAATTTCATCTATGTGGATGGCACATACTATGAGGAGAGGCACTTCCTAGAAGGTATGCTATTCTCTGAAGTTGAATGTTTCAACTATTTTTGCAAGTCTCAAGCTTTTAAGACCAGTCTGGTTTAAATGGTCATACTCATATCTCAGCCTCCTGAGTAACTGGGATTACAGGGGAGAGTAACCAGTAATCAGCTTATAAATTCATTTACTTATAAATAACCACAACGTGCCCATAGCTAATCTTTTGAAAACTAAATTAGGATTTTCCCTATACATTTCTTCAGGAATACCAAAGGATGACATGATGAACAGAATTTTTCATATTTTTCATATGGGATCTAGTTTCCCTCAACTTTGGTAATAAAAATGGAACATTCTGAAATTATAGACATTAATAAAAATAGAGTTTCTGATAAACTCTATCTGTGCAACTGAGAATTGTCTCATTTGTGGCTATATAGTATAGGTTTCTCTTGAACAAAGGCTTGTACTCCTTTTCGGAGTGACCAGGATTCAGAAAATTACTTTTATTCCTCCTTAGATTGTTTAGACAGATACTTCAATCATTCTCAGTGCTATTCTTGAATTCAGAATTGCCTTTAGGTAATGAGTAGCATTTCTTAACTACGATTTTCTGTCTTACCTTTGGGATGTACTTCAACATAATATGATGTCTCTCTTCAGTTGCTCCATTTTCTGAAGAACATCCAGTTTCACAATTCTGTTGGACATCAAGTGATTTTGGATGAGAAAAGTAAATTAGGGCCAGACTATGACATTCTGAACATTTGGAATTTTCCAGAAGGTCTTGAACTTGAGGTGAGAGTAGGAAAGTTTTCTCCCAATGCTCTACGCGGTAATCAACTGTCTTTATCTGAAGATATGGTAGAGTGGGGCACTGGAAATACAGAGGTGAGTTGGGTCTAGTCTTAATAATTTTATCAACACACAAATAAACAAAAGTCACCCTTTACATTTACACTTGACTGAGTGTCAAAAACTTTCTCCCATAAACCTACCTACTCAGATAGTTGAGATCTGAATATCATGATTTAAAAGTCAGCTCAAACAAGAAGGTTTGTGAGACTGTTATCTCCAATTAACCAACAAAAATCTGGAATTTGAGCTGTGACTGAATAATGCAATAATAACTTTCAGCAAAAAATTCTCAAGGCCAGTGCCTAGACATTGGGTTCAAGCCCAGGATGGGAACTAAAAATTTTACATGTGTTCCTAATTTTTGATTCAGAATATTGTCAGGTTATAGTATCCTATTTCCTACACTGGGATAAAGGACCTGACACATACATTTATGGGCTCAGAAGCTTTATTGGGTTCCATTATGTAGAGGTTTCATTCAATGGTTAGTTGACCTGCCTGTTAGGCATCCTTGGTGAAAGGAATGACTGAATATGCCATTATGAAGATTCATTCTTCATGACCACTGGAAACCTAAGAGGAAAATATGATGGGCCTATAAAAGGGAGGTCATCCACCAGGCTTTTCCCCTTGTCGCAGATAAGTAGGAGACAACATATAATGACATGAGTTTAAGAAAATTCTGTAGGGTTATAAATGAGAACTCATTTCCTCACCACAGGGTTCACCCTTTCAAAGATCCCATACTGTTCTATAGCTCAACAGGCTAGCATAAAAGTCTTTAGAAATCATGGGATATGGAGTCTATAACACAATTCAATTTATTGACTGCACTTAGCTACATAGCATCATTATGCTGAATAACCAATTCTTTCCAACAATGGGTTTTTGGAGTTTTAGCTATGAAAGTTTGAAGAGTTATGAACAGATACCTGATTTTCCTCAGACTCCTCACTCTGTCTGCAGTAAGCCTTGTGGTCCTGGATTTAGGAAATCTCCTCAGGAAGGAAAGGCTGCCTGTTGCTTTAATTGTACCCCTTGCCCACAGAATGAGATTGCTAATATGACAGGTAAGTCTGAGACTCTCCTCAGTTTTCCTCAACTAAACAAGTCAATGCAAAATTTGTACATTGTGATTGCAGACCCCTTTTTCCTTTTCTCTGTTAATAATTTAATTTTGAGGGGCTGGGAAGGTGGCTTGGTGGTAGAGTGCTTGATTTGCATGCATGAGGCCCTGGGTTTGATTCCTCAGCACCACATGAGCACAACAAAAGCCAGAGGTGGTGCTGTGACTCAAGTGATAGAGCATTAGCCTTGAGCTGAAGAGCTGAGGGACAGTGCCCAGGCCCAGAGTTCAGACCACACAACTGGCCAAATAATAATAATAATAATAATAATAATAATAATAATAACAATTTGAAAAGTGGTGGAACTGTTAGGTGAAATGTGAAAGTTCATGAGCTTGAATTGCGTATTTCAGTAATATTTTCTAGTCTATTGCAGAAGGCAAACTTAGCTCCAGAAATCCCACTTATCACTCAGAGTTAAGACAAGTATAAACCCTAAGATGAAAGTAAACATGTCTTATTGGTCAGTGCTCACATTTTTATTCACATAGGAAACATAGATCTTGCACATATTTATTTCTCTCTGCCCAGCACTGTTCATGGCACAGAAAAAGTACTCGGAAAGGTGGATTTTTTTTTTTTCGGTCCGGTCTTGGGGCCTGAACTCTGGGCCTGGGCGCTGTCCCTCAGCTCTTCAGCTCAAGGCTAGCCCTCTACCACTTGAGCCACAGCGCCACTTCCGGCTTTTTTCTTTTTGCTTATGTGGTGCTGAAGAATCGAATTCAGGGCCTCAGGCATGCAAGGCAAGCGCTCTTCCACTGAGCCAGCTTCCCAGCCCCTCAGATAGGTAGACTGACTTTAAGAAGTGAGCATGACTATGAAGGGCCCAAGAAGGTTTTCTCTCTTCCTATTGCTTCACAGATGAGTTGGAGAGAAAAATAGGATGAGATGAATTCCAGAATGTGCAATTGGGATAAAACTAAGGTTTTACAAAGACATGTACTTAAGTGTCACCCATAGTATTTATTGTGGATTGCACGAACAGTTAATAAATGTTAAGCAGTGTAGGAAATTGTTGTTAGGACATGAGAATGATCCAAAGTGCTCATTATCAATACATTTGATAATGACTGAAAGAAAAATGAGTTGAATGAAAATGTCTGAATAAACAAGTAGATGGAAATGTGAGGAGGTTATGCTTTAGAAAAGATATAAATGTGCATTAATATTTACTAATTACATGTTATCATTACATCTAAGGGAATAATTTCCTAATTTCTTTGAAGTAAAAGAAGTTCAAAATAAGAACTAATGATAGCTTACACTCTTTATCAGAGATGGAGCATTGTGTGAAATGTGCACATCGTCAGTATGCCAACGCAAAGAGAAATCAGTGCCTCCAGAGAGATGAAAGTTTCCTGGCTTTTGGAGATCCTTTGGGCATGGCTCTGGCCTGCATGGGTATTTGCTTCTCTATGCTAACTGCTGCTGTTTTGGGGATATTTGTGAAACACCAAGATACTGCCATTGTCAAGGCCAATAACCGGACTCTCAGCTACATCTTGCTCATCTCCCTCATTTTCTGTTTCCTCTGTTCCTTACTCTTCATTGGCCGTCCCAAAACAGTCACCTGCATCCTGCAGCAGATCACATTTGGACTTGTCTTCACTGTGGCTGTTTCCACAGTGTTGGCCAAAACAGTGATTGTGGTCCTGGCCTTCAAGTCCATTTCTCCAGGGAGAACAATGAGGGGGTTGTTGGTTTCAGGGGCTCCTAACCTCATCATCCCCATCTGTACTCTCATCCAGGTGACCCTCTGTGGACTTTGGCTGGGAACCTCTCCTCCCTTTGTGGACACAGATGCACACTCTGAACATGGCCACATCATCATCCTGTGCAACAAGGGCTCCCTCACTGCATTCTATTGTGTCCTGGGATACCTGGGCTCCCTGGCCCTGGCCAGCTTCACTGTAGCTTTTCTGGCCAGGAACCTGCCTGACACCTTCAACGAAGCTAAATTCCTGACCTTCAGCATGTTGGTGTTCTGCAGTGTGTGGCTCACCTTCCTGCCAGTCTACCACTGTGCCAAGGGGAAGGTCATGGTGGCTGTGGAGGTCTTCTCCATCTTGGCCTCTGGTGCAGGGCTCCTAGGCTGCATTTTTGTCCCCAAATGTTACAATATATTGTTAATGCCCAATAGAAATTCTCTGCATGGCTTTAGAGAAAAAAGTCAACATAGTAGGAAAAATTAGCTTTTCTTATGAAGAATCTCCTATGTTTGATTATGATACAGAAGGTGTGATCTAAATCTAGAGTCATTTTCCATTGTTTTATTACATTGTAATGTGGATTTTAACTTCAATGAATAAGGGTCTTTTGCTCATTTTTCTTTTTTTTCATTTTTTATTGCACAGAGGGGTTAAAGTTAAATGAATAGGGTAATGAACACATTTCATAGCAAGTGTTGTTACCTCCTCCTTTATTTTCGCCCTACCAAAACTTCCCTCCCTGTTTCCACAACTCATCCTGCTACCCCCCACCCCGACATTGTAACATTCATTTTCAATATAGGGTCCTGTACATCTCGTCCTCACAATGGGTCAGCCTGCATCCCTATTTAAGCATTCTGCAATATCTCTTCCACTCCCCAAATTACAAAAATGTATATACAAGGTGCAGAATACCAGCAACAAATCCAGAGAAAACAGCGTTTATACAATCAGGGAAAAGCATACAATAAATAGAAAGAAAAGGATCACATTGTGCATTGTATCTACATTAAAAACACTAGGACGTAAGGTAAAATACCTCTTCTGTCCCTGTCTTGGGGTATATTTTGCTTAACATTATCTCATGTGGTTGTATGTACATACTTTTGACTTTCTCTGCTTGTCCTAGACATGTACTAGTCACTGTAAACAAGGGAAACCAGGTAACCTATGTTTCTTTGGGCCTGGCTGACTTCACTGAATATAATTTTTTCCAAGTTTTTCCATTTCCTAACAAAAGAGGCAATATCATTCTTTCTGATGGAGGCATAGAATTCATATTTTCTTCTTGTTCCATTCATCTACTGAGCCCATATGGATTGTTCCATATCTTAGCTATGGTAAATAATGCTTCGATAAGTATGCTTGTGCTGGTAGTTTTGGTATGACTTTCTTTACAATTTTTTGGGTAAATGCCCAAAAGTGGGATATGTAGGTCATGTGGAATCTTTTGAGGAACCTTCATACTGCTTTCCAAAATCATTTAACAAGTTTACACTCATACCAACAATGCAGTAGGGTTCCCTTTTGGCCACATCAACTCCACCATCTATTGTTACAGGATTTCTTGACTATAGCCATTCTAGCTGGGGTGAAGTGGAATCTCAACGTTATCTTGATTTGTATTTCTATTATGGCTAGAGATGTCGAGCATTTCTTCATTTGTCTATTGGTCATTCTCCGTTCCTTCTCATAGAAGTCTCTCTTTAAGTCTTTAGCCCATGTGTTAAACGTGTAGTTGTTTCTTTGAGGATTTGTTGTTGGGAAATTGAGTTTTTGGAATTCTAAGTAGATTTTAGATATGAGACCCTTGTCTGTTTTATGGCTACTAAACATCTTCTCCAAGTCTGTGGTCTTTCTGTTGATCTTGCTAGCTATGTCCTTTGTCATGCAGAAGCTCTGCGGTTTCATGCAGTCTCATTTGTCCAACCTTTCTTTGATTGGTTCTCCTTCTGGGTCTCTATTAAGAAAATTTAGGCCTGTGCCAAGGAGCCCTAGAGTTTCTCCTATTCCTTCCTGTAATGTTTTCATGGAGTCTGCTTTTATTTCAAGGTCTTTCATCCATTTGGAGTTGATTCTGGGTAAGGTGATAGACACAGATCAAGTTTTAGTTTTCTACAAGTGTTTCACCAATTTTACCAGCACCATTTACTGAAAAGACTGTCTTTCTTCTATTCTATTTCTTTAGCTCTCTTGTCAAAGATTAGGTGGCTATAGGTCTGTGGGTTCATTTCTGGGTCTTCAGTCCTATGCCATTGTCCCTCAGGTCTGTTCTTGTGTCAGTACCAAGATGTTTTGATTACTAGAGCTTTGTAGTAGAGTTTGAAATTGGAATTGATATTCCTCCAGCACTATTCTTTTTAGTAAAGATTGTTTTTGCTATCCATGGTTTTATTGTTCCATATGAATTTGTGGATTGCTTCTTCTATTTCATTACATAATGAGGTTGAAATACTGATAGGTATCACATTGGCGGTATTGCCATTTTCTCAATGTTAATCCTCCCAATCTGGGAGAATTGGGGAGAGGGGTGTTTCTGCATGCTTAGTTCTGTTTTAATTTCCTTTGTCAGATTTTTAAATTTTTCATCATACAGATCCTTCATCTCTTTTGTTAAGTTAACTGCTAAGTATTTTATTTTTTGTGGGGCTATTACAAAAGGTGTTGCTTTCTAATTTCAGCTGCACTCTTCTCATTATTGGCATACAGGAAAGCCATTGAGTTTTGAGGGTTAATTTTATCCTGTGCTACTTTGCCAAAGTTTCTGATCAGCTCAAGTAACTTGAGAGTGGAGTCCATGGTGTTCTTTAAATACAAGATAGTGTTATCTGCAAAGAGGGAGAGTTTTACTTCATCTTTCCCTATGTGGATTCCCTTTATGTCTGCATCTTGTCTTATTGCTGTAGCTAGGCATTCTAATACTAGGTTGAAGAGGAGCTGGGAGAGTGGACACTCTCATCTCTTTCCTGAACTTAGATGAAATGGCTTTAAATTTTCATCATTAAGTATAATTCTGGCTGTATTTTTGTCATATACAGCCTTTATTGTATTGAGGAATGTTCCATGGATTCCTAGATTTTCCAGGACCTTCACCATAAAGGGGTATTGGATCTTGTGAAATGCTTTTTCTGCATCTATTGATTTAACTCTGTGGTTCTTATCCTTGCTCTTGTTGGTGTGATGAATTATATTATTTGTTTTGCGTATATTGAACCAGCTTTGCATCTCTGAAATGAATCCTGTTTGATCGTGGTGCTCGATTCTTTTGATGAGTTGTTGAAGTCGATTGGCCAACATTTTTTTGAGAAGTTTTGAAAGATATTGAACAAAAAGAAAAATGTGTCTATGGTTCACGTTCTTTACTGTGTCCCTCCCTTGTTTTGGGATGAAGGTTATGCTGGTTTTATAAAAAGAATGTGGTAGTGGATTTTTGCTTTCCTTTTCAATAAAGAGAAGGAGGAGTATTGTTGTAAGTTCTGCTTTAAGCACCTTTTAGAATTCAGCTATACATCCATTAGTTCCTGGACTTTTGTTGGCTGGGAGCTCTTTTATTTCTGCTTCTATTTTGATGCTTGATACGGGTCTGTTGTTTGAAATCATCTTAATTTAGGGCATGTCAATATTTGCTAGAAATTTATCCATATCTTTCAGATCCTCAAATTTATTAGCATAAATGTTTGAGAACTATCCCCTTATTATATTCTGAATCTTGGTTGTTTCTGTAGTGATGTTTCCACTGTCATCTCTGAGTTTCGTTATTTGGGTGTGTTCTCTTCTTTTTCTGATAAGATTTGCTAAGGATCTGTCAATTTTATTCATTTTACAATGAACGAACTCTTTGTCTTGTTCATTATTTCTATAGGTTTTTGTACTCTAATTGATTTACTTTGGATTTAATTTTAATTATTGGTGTCTGTCTAGGGGATTGGGGTTTAACTTGTTGTTGTTTTTTTCTGTTTTGGTGGTGCAGGGGCCATTCGTGGGGCCTGGGCACTGTACCTCAGCTCTTCAGCTCAAGGATAGTGCTCTACCACTTGAGCCACAGTGCCACTTCTGGCTTTTTTCTTTTTGCTTATGTGGTGCTGAGGAATCAAACCCAGGGCCTCATGCATGCAAGGCAAGCACTCTAACACTGAGCCACCTTCTCAGCCTTGTTGTTCTTTTTCAAGGAGCTTCAGGTGCTTCATTAAATTGTTCATTTCAGGTCATTCCAATTTGTTGATATAGGAACTCAGAGCTATAACCCTGCCTCTGAGTACTGCCTTTGCTGTGTCCCAGAGGAGCTGGAAATTTGTGTGATCATTTTGTTGAATATCATGAACATATGAATTTCCTTTCTAATCTCTATCACTCGAGATTCAACAGTGGGTTGTTAAGCTTCCATGTGTTATAAGATTTCCTTTGGGGGCTTCTGGTGTTGAATTCTAATTTAATTCCCTTGTGGTTTGGGAGAATGCCGGGTATAATAAAGGAATTTTTATGAGGGCCTGCTGTTTCACAAATGAACATGTAAGTATACTATATTTCCAACTTCCTCCCTATGGTAATCCAGATATGATCAAAATACTTTGTCAGTTTCTAGAGTTTTGTCTAGCTTTCTTACTTTACAATTTCAGTATCAGATTTGATTTTATATTACTGTGTAAAATACTGAATCCTCATTGTGTTATATGAAGTGGATGGGAAAATATTTGATTTTAGTGTTTGGTATAGTTTTGTGTAATTCCTGCTAATTTCATCATAGTTGAGATTTCAGTAAATTCACACAACCCTTTTTTCTCTTAAATGAAGGAATGAAAATAATGCGTACATGGATGGTTTGATGTGCTGAAGCAAGTTTTTATAGAAGCCATGCAGGGAGAAAGCCAATGGCACATAAAAGAGAAGTTCAAATATAAATAGGACAGAATGGAATGAGGAAAACATATCTACATGAAATTAGATTTCTATTGTGCCCCACGAAAACTTTATTCATAAAAAGCAGGCTGGATTTGACCCGTGAGATATGATTTGCCTATCTTGATTTTGTGGAGGACAGGGCATAATTAGGGTCAAATGCTATATGAAAATTTTTATCTGATTTTCTGTACCTTTCAAAAGCTTTAGATATATTTTATGAAAAGATGAGGGATTTTACATGCATGGATAAAATAAAATGCTGCAGGCCATTGGGATCATTTAAAATAGCAGAGGAACAAAACTTAATGGATAAAGGCATATGAAATCCAAAGAATTTATGGGTCCATATAAAATTATTACAATGAAATCCATTTTTACCCTATATCCTAGAAAATTTAAAGTAATACAAAAATTACATTTATAAGTCAATCTATTTGGAATTGGAAAAATAACTTCTCTTTTATCTGTTTGAACAAATTTAATTTTTAACACATTAAATAAAACTAACTAAACTCGAAATCACAATTGATTTCATATATACCTTCAAATATTGGGTATAAAAAATACCTAGCATTCCAAACCTA